TTCTGTGAGTTCATGGGCAGCCTGGTCTCCATAGTGAGTTCTAGGCCAGCTAGCCAGGTGATACCTACCTCTCAAAAGGACTAAAAAGATTTTACTTTTATGTGTGTTTATGCACATTCGTGCAGATTTCTTTTATTGTGTGTGTGTGTGCGTGCACTCATAGGCCAGAATGGGGTGTCAGATCCTCTAGAGCTGGAGTTACAGAAGGTTGTGAGCCGCCTGATGCAGGTGCAGGAATATGAGCCCTAGTCCTCTGTAAGAGCAGCAGCTGAGCCATCTCTCCAGCACCCAGCTCATTACTCCAATTACGTTTTAAGAATAAGATTTCATCACATTAAACCATATTATGAATAGTTTTGGCTGTAAGGTGAAAACATTTTAGCTTTCTTTCAACAAGTATTTCTAATCTTGACACCCTTGAGTTTTATCAGGGCTCCAAGTAAAAATCTGAGATCCTTTCAAAGATAGTAGCTTCATCTGCATTCTTTCCTGAGTTAAATGCTTCAATTCACTTCCTCTGTAAATGTCATCTAGTATAATTCTACCCAGCCCAGCTCGGCATAAAGCTTCCACTGCCTGACGTGTCCACACCGGTGTTCTGTGTTCTGCCATTTGCTTTGTTTGTGAGTCAATGAAATCACAGCACAGATATTTTTTCCCACAGGAAACACCTCAGGTTGTCTTGCCTTACTGAATAACCCAGGTTAGATGCTCTGAAAATGGAATTTCAACAGCAATCAAATGAACAAGTTAAGAGTCCTCCTTGCCGGGCGGTGGTAGCGCACGCCTTTAATCCCAGCACTTGGGAGGCAGAGGCAGGTGAATTTTTGAGTTCGAGGCCAGCCTGGTCTACCGAGTGAGTTCTAGGACACCCAGGGCTACATAGAGAAACCCTGTCTTGAAAAAAACAAAACAAAAAAAACCAAAAACAAAACAAAAAGAGTCCTCCTGATTTGAGAAAGAGGCAAAAGGGAGAGCTGTTGGGCATGGGGTCTCTGTTGTAATTTACTGAATTCATACTAAGAAGAGAGTCTGCTGAATGAGCTGCTAATATAAAGGCTGTCTCAAGGGGAGCATCAAACCTTCCGAAGCATCGTCCACAGCACGCACCTGCTGATACCCAAGGATGGAGACGCTAAGAGCACAACTCATCCTCACCAAGTCATTACAGAAGCCAGTGAGACTCCAAACTGCAGCCTGATTGAAACTGCCTTCTCGCCTCTGTTCTAACAGTTCCAAGCAAATTTCCTCCCTCGTAAAGGTTAAGAACTCCCAGCAGTGGTGCTGAATGAGTCACGTTTTCTATCATACTCATGGAAGTGCTCAATTTTAATCCTGTAAATCTGAATAGAACACATAAGTGTCTGGGCTCACAGACTAAAATTCAAAGTTTGCACACCACAAGCCACACATCTGCAATCTAGGCCTCCTTATTAGGAGACATTATCAGGCAAGTCATGGCCGAAGGGTCCCTCAGGGAAAGCAGCTAATCCACTGGGGAAAGGGGGCAATTTCGGAAGCAAAGCCAAAAAAATATCTGTCCAAGCACCTTCTACTCCAATTCACATTCAAACAAAATGTTAATTATAAAAATATCTTATCATCATTAAAACCCAATGCTGTTTAATTTAAAAGTAGTGAAAAGTGGTTTCTTCGAAGTATCTTATGCTTTCTTATTAACTTGGATAAACAGTCCCATTTCCTATCTTTAAAAATGACTGACACACTTGATGTAAGGATCACTCAGGCTTAAAACCCAGCTTTTGTTTTTTCTTAGTTCACATCTGTTTTCTGTACTGCAGACAGTTTTTACCTTACCTTCTAGTAACCTCAAAAACCAAATCATATGCTAATATATACCTTTTAAAATTTAAGCATGCATGCATATATAGACAGGCAGATAGATATAGATACCAATATTTTTGTTTGTTTTTGTTTTTTTTTTCTGTGTAGCCCTGGCTGTCCTGAAACTCTTGCTGTAGACCAGACTGGTCTTGAATTCAGAGATCTGCCTGTCTCTGCCTTATCACCAGGCCCAACTAAGCATGCCTAGATTTTTTAAAGTAGTAAGAAGGGGGACCGGGGTGTTAGGCCTTTCATCCCAGCATTTGGGGCAGAAGTTATGAGTTTGAGACCAGACTGGGTTACAAAGTGTGTGAACTTGCCTCCAAAAAAGAAAAGGAGGTTGGGGGAATTTTACATTTGTAATAGGTTGTTCAAATGACTTCTCTGTGTGCATTGTGTCCAAGGAACCAATGAACAACCTCTGGTGTCGTCGTTCATGAGTGACCTACCTTATTTTGTTAATTACTTTAATTACATTTTATCTGTTCATTCGTTCATTCATTCATTCATTCATTCATTCATTCATTCATTTGGTGAGGATAGCACCAGGAGGTAAACCAGAAAACAACCTTTGAGAGTTGCTTCTCCCCTTTCTACTATGTGGGTCTCAGGAATATCAAGCTTGGCAGTTTCTACCCACTGAGCCATCCAGCTGGTTTCATCTTGTATTTAGGGGCAAGGTTTGTCATTGCCTGAGTACTCCCGAAGTACTGGCTAGCCAGTCTGCCCCATGAATCTATCTTTATCTGCCTCTCTGACACTGGGATTACAGATGCATGTCTGCACACATGGCTTGTTACGTGGGTTCTGGGCATCAGACTTAGGCCCTCAGGCTTACCCAGCAAGCACTTGACTGAGCCATCTCCGCAGCTGGAGTTTCTCATGGCTTAGCTGTGGTATGTGAACAGTCCAAATTCACACCAACCAAGTTGTCTCCTCCACTACATTAAAGGCCACCAGAATCCCCAACACAGTTCTTACTATTACCGTGAATCTCATCAGAAAAATCCTTCAAGTACTGGGCACCTTCGAAATTCACTGAAACAGGGACAAATTTCTCCAAATTCTAGTTTTCCTTTACAAACTTAAATTTTATCTTTTGCAATAGATAATGTGTGTGTCCTTCCGTGTCACGATGAGCCAACTCACTGTGTTCATTTCCAACATGTGCTCTAGGTCCTAAGTGTGTTCAGATGCACACAGAACCTTCTGGATTGACTGTGTTTCTAAATGTTGGGTGCATTTTGGGAGCAGAGCCTTGGCCTGTTCTACTCCATTCTCACTGCTGCAGCTACATCCTGCCTGATTATCAGCAGGGTACAGACCAGGGCACCTCAGTATTCAGTATTCAAGCGAGCATATAGTTTTGATCTTATCAATCTATTAAAGGCCACCCAGGAAGGGCTGGCAGCAGAGCTCTGTTGGTAGAGCGCATGCCTGGTCCAGCATGCATGGAGCCAGCCCTGGCTGCATCTCCAGCACCAAATGGGCAGGTGTGGTAGCACATACCTACAATCCTAGCACTTGGAGGTAAAGGCAGAAGAACCAGAAGTTCAGGGTCATCGTTGGCTACACAGGCAGTGAGAAGAGAGAATCTGCTGAATGAATGCCAGCAAGCAAGCAGGATTCTGAGGAACCAATCGGTGCTGACCTTATAACAAATCCCTGAGCACTCACATTTTCACAGCCACCACCTTAGAAAAGTGGCCAGTGCAACTTTCTCAGGCTGCCCTGGGTTAATGTGACCACATCCATCCAAGCTTCAATGCTGACAACATAGTCAGTGTAACCTAGTCACCATAGAAGGATGGAAAAGCTGGATAAATTTAATATACAAATTCCTCAAAGGAATTTAAAACATGGTTTCTTTTTTTCTTTAATCCACCCATTTGTTTCCACACTGGCTAGGTTTTTTTTTTTCCCTCTCGGACACATGCCCGGTGTCACAAATATGGAGACTTTTAGGGTGATAAACCCTGTGACCCACAGGGAGTTAAGCTGCCTAGACACAGGGAGGTGTATTGAAGTTGACGGATCTGATATCAAGTGCCAGGTTCCATGCCTCAAGCAGTTGGTCCACTGTCGTGCCCAGGTCTGCCTTTTTAGTTGGATATGAGACAAATTCCACTTACAGCATGAAATCTATGTAAAGCACTCAGCCCGTTCCTAACACACAGCAGGCATTCAATAAATGGAAGCCACTCTGTGAATAAGGTCCCCTGGGGGCAGCCAGAGTCCAGAGGGGAGCGGAACACATGTTCCAATAATTATGACCCAGCAAGAGAACTGATTAACCACAAAATGGAACAGGGATAAGGGGGAAAAAAATCAATGGCCTACTTCAGTAAGGAAGGTGCTGAGACAGGAAGGAGCTGGCTTAGTGACAGCAGTATCTGGATCAGTACGAAGGTGTGTGGGTATGCAGAATGGAAGGGAGCAAAGGGACATAGAATGACAGCACATCAGCCAGCCCAAGCACCAAGGACAATTCAAGTGGCCCATGTCCTGTGCAAGCAGGAACTAATTTCCTTTCTTTCTCTTTTAGTGTGTGCAGGCCAGAGGACATCCTCAAATGTGGTTCCTCCAGAGCCATTCACTTTGGTTCTTTGAGACAAAGTCTCTCACTGGCCTGGAGCTCACTAGGCAGGCTACTCACTAAGCAGGCTACTCACTAAGCAGGCTACTCTGGCTGGCCAGTAAAGCACAGAGAGCCTCCTGTCTGTGCCTCCCCAGCACTGGATGACAGGTGTGTGCTCTACACCTGTCTATCTGACATGAGTGTGGGAGATCATACTCAGATCTGCGCTGCATGGCTAACACACTACCGCAGAGCCACCTTCCCAGCCCAGGAGAGGAGCAGCTATTGTCAAAGTCATTGTGTAGCCTCTCTGACACTTAGAAAATCTTGAGGCACACAACTCAATCTTCCTCCTGACCCCAGGTCCTATGCTCCAGTGAAAATCACAGTCACTTGGTTTATAGAGTGAGAAGCTGCAGAAAGGGGGCAGGCAATGGCTCGAGCCTCGAATTGTGACTCCAGCCACCTGTGAGTCACCGCATGAGTGAGCCCAGGACCCACCTACCCAGTCAGTGTGGAGCCACACCTGGTTACACTGCACCTCCCCAGAGGAACCAGGGAAGCATGGTCTACTCACCCAGAATTTTACAAGGAAGAAGGCGTTTTGAGGGCCCTTTCCAAACAGCTCCTTCAAGCCACCTTTCTTTTCAGGAAATTTGTCATATATCTGACGAATGTCCACGGATTCGAGCAACGGGTCACTGTAAGAATGGTTGGCATGCCCAATGTGCACGAAGAGGTGTTTGTTGTACTGCAAGAAACCATCAGAGACATTCCCATTATAAACTTTTTCATAGAACGGGGACTCACCTGTGTGAACTGGAGAATGAGTGGGAATCTTGAAATACCACCTCTGAAAGCACGCTTACAGAAAAAAGTCATTAGAGCGTAGAGAAAAATGACTGTTGTCTAGCCATTGTCTCCAGACAGTGGTAGTCTCCCAAATGCCTAAGAAAAGCCTCTCAGCTTGTCAACTACCAAACCAAGAGACAATCCGACTCTCCAGCCCCCTCTGGTTCACTCTTTACATCTCTTTACCCACAACATAAACCGTCTATGATTACAGCTGCTAACAGCATCACCCACAATGCACCTTTAGCCCCAGCTTTCCAAGTAGGACTGTGGGCACAGCAGTTGGACTCGCTTTCATCAAAAATGAGAGTCCTGAGCCTCTGGGTCGGCAGCCATCTTAGGAACCCATATAAAAATTCTACGAGATGGGCTGGTCAACACAGTTGAGTGCAAAGTTAGGGCCATGAATAAAGAATCTCCAAAGCCAAACAGGGATAGTAAGAAAAAAGCAGAGGCCAGCTGGGAACAAAGAAAGTCATTTATTCACAAAGCAAATTCTTTCTTCCCTTGCTTTGCTATAAATCCTTATTTGTTTTATAAGGGTCTATAAGGCTTATTTGTTGTTTAGGATGAACTGTGTTGGCACCTGGCTTAAGACCTTGTACAGAAAATACAAAGTCATGTTTCCTGACCCTCAACAATTATTTAGACCTCACCCGTGCCTGGACCCTAATCTCACTACACTGAAATCTCTGAGAATTGAGACCAGGCACAGCCAGTTTTTAAAGTTCCTTGATGAGGTCAATGTTTAGCTGAGTATGAAACTATTATGTAGACTCTTGATACCAGACACTTAGAGCCTGCTTTTCCCACCTAATGGCACGGCCCAGAAATGTCCAGGAGAGCAGGGGCTCCATCCAGGAGAACGCAGGGAATCACAAGGGATATTACATCTCCAGTTCACATAGCAGAGCCCCTCTCCACCCACTAACAAGGTTTAAGCCAATCGTTTATCAACTATGACCCTGAGTGAGACTATGACAGTAATATTCAAATTGTTGAATGCTTGGGAAATGTTCCTACATCACTGCCCACTGGTGAAGAATGTACCGTCCAGATTCAGCCATTCCAAGGACAAACCCTAGGCCTGGTGTATGTTATCTGTGGCAGTGGCCTTGCCTCCTTAGTGTCCTATGAGTGGCCGCAATGATGGAATAACTTTCACAGGGTTATCAGAAGGTTTAAATGACACCATACTTCAAAGTTTGTCATAGATCCTAGAGCCAATGAAAAGCAGGCACTCAAAATGAAACTCTGGAGATTCACAGTGAATACTTTCATAATAAAAAAAAACTGCCATAAAGGAAGTGTTTTGGGGCCATGAATAATTCAGTTTCCTCAACTGGACTGGCTATAAACTCTAGAAAACACACCCTGAGGGAATACTGGCTGCTATCCTGACTGCTATCCAAGAGAACTCTGGCCATGACACTGAGAAAGAGAAGGATGGGTGTCTCATCTGATGCCAGTATCCCATACACAGTATGACTGGGTGGATAAAATGCCCCTGCATAACAGTTGTTGCCAAGAGGTCAAGAAGGTGAACAGAAGGGAGAACTTTAACATGCTCCAATGGTGGCCAAGAAGGGATAGCTGTGCTGTCGAACTCTGTCCTTTGAACCTAAAAGTCATTACAATCTTCATGAGAGCAGCTGGGATTGCTTCTTGGAGACCTTCAAGATCTGGCTTGTTGAGGTTCCCTCATGGGAGGAGGGAACGGGGAAGGTCATCAGACTATTCAGAGTTAGTAGAGCTAGCAGTTCTTTCCTACTCTGTATCTTTAACTGAGCTGTACATTGCCTTGGAGAGTCTCAGAACGCCCCCTCCCTCTCCCTGGCAGACAGAATGTGGAAGGTTAAATGAAGAAGGAAGCCAGTTTATGCAGCTATGGGATAGTTGCCAATGATACAGAAGTAAGCTTTTTTTTTGGGGCGGGGGTATGGCTGTTTTTTTGGGGGGGTAGATAATCAACCACACCACTGCACTGCAAGGAACCCCTCACTCACACCCTCTAAATGAGTCAGTGGATTCAGGGGTTCCCAAGTTGGACTTGAATGACATCTTTTTACTGATTCGTTGTTGATGCCTAATCTGGGGTCAGGAGATGTTTTCCTCTCCCTGAAATGAGTTCATACAACAAGTTGAGAACCATGGTGCGATCAAGCATAATAAAGGAAACCTCTGAGCTTCCTGTGCACACTGGCAGTGCAGAGCTGGTACAACAGAACAGTTTCAAGATGTGAGGCAACTATTATAGGCAGATGGCACTTGGCATAAAGCCTGCCAAACAGAGCAGTCAATAAACAGGCCACTAAGATAACTAATGGTCTGGGCCATGGACAGTCACTCCACCCTGGAGTAGAAAAAAAAAATATCCACCACTCAAGAGCTAGAAGCAAGCAGAAATGTGCAGCAGGTTAAATGCTGGAGCTGGTCCCTTTCTAGTTAGATGCTTCAGGGGAACCTAACCTCTTTCCTGTGCAGAAGGAAGGAAGGACCAGGTCTTGTGTCCCCAGGCTGTTGTGAGCCATACCTTTTCTATTTATGACCTCAGGTCATCCTTGCTGCAGTGGACTTCATATTCTCCTTACAGAGGAGGAAACAGGAGCTCAGAGTTACACACTGTTGTCTGAGGTCACACATTTGGAAATAGGTCTGGAGTTAAGAATAAAACTTGGGCCTGTGAAAGCCAGGCTTTGTTCTGTATAGACACCACCACTATCTCCTGGAAGAACCACCTATCCCCTTCCAAATGTTTAGTCAACTGCTCCTGAAAGCTGAATGAGGAGAAAAGCTGAACGGCATTTTCCAAGTCTGTGAAATGAAATTAGAATTCTAGATCAAGTCATAAGTGCAATGGACCGAGTCTTCAAAGCTTTCTATTTTGGGGATGTGATCTCTATGCCTGAGGGGCTGAAAGGGACAGAGAAGAGACAGAGAAGCTGGAGCTGTCTCTCCAAGGCTGAAGATTTGAAACCAAACCCCAGCCAGGGCTGACTGCAGGCTTAATACTGCCAAGGGGTGACTCTATTTCTAAGAATACAAAGAACTGGAGAAGGTGTCCTGGAGACCACAGCATGGAACAAACAGACCTCGTTTTCCCCTTAACTCAACCTGGGCAGGTCATGAGTCCTGGCTGCAAACCCAAAGGACAAAATGAAGAAAGCAACCTGATGTGCTTGAGCCTATGTTTACAAGCCAGACAGGGGTAGTGGGAACAGAAGAGCCTATGTTTAAATGAAATCAAAATTCTAAAGAACACTGGATGGGGCTGTAACAAACCCAAAGGGTGGTGTTCTCCCCAAATGTTGCACACATATCCAAAAGGCAGGGCAGAGAAGCACTTTCAAAAGGAGGCAGCTGCCAGGTGACCTGCATCAAGGCCCAGCACTACGTATGATTCTTCAGAACACAACCTTTTCAGTTGACAACAGTAATGTGTAAAAACTGGGACCCACATAAAGGAGAGAACTAACAGCACAAAGCTGCCCTCTGATCTCTACAAGCATGCCTCAGCTCATGTCAACCAACACTCACACACAAACCCCAAATACAGAGAGTTCAAAGAATAAAGCTTCACAGGCACTTAAAAGCTATAAAGAGTCACCCAAGGAGCTGGAGAGATGGCTCAGTGGTTAAGAGGACTGGCTTTTCTTCCAGAGGTCCTGAGTTCAATTCCCAGCAACCACAGGCTGGCTCATAACCATCTGTAATAGGTTCTGGTGCCCTTTTCTGACATGCAGATAAAGCACAAAAAAGAGAAAAGTCACCCAAATATCAAGGAGGACAAAAATGGTACCCATTCTGCATTTTCTCTGTAGATTTTAGTAGAACAACCAACATGCCTATCACCTACCATCCACCAGGCACTGAGCTAGGAACACTAAATCCATAAACAAACACTACCAGCTGCTTTTCTTCACAGGCTCTGCAAAAGCAGAGTACCTATATTGCAGCTTGCCGTCATCTATAACTCTAGTTCCAGGGATCTGGCCTCTGAGGGCTCTTCTGGCCTCCACATGTACCATGTATAAAAAACACTTGCACACATAGAATAAAAATAAATACATCTACAAACAAACAAACAAACAAACAAACAAACGCCCTTCCCACACATCTTCCATGAATTGTAGTGTCTTTCATTAACCAGGAATATGTATGCAGAATCCACCCAGAAAATGTGAATGGTTCTATAAACCTAAACCATATGAATCAGGTTACCCATTTACATGAGAGCAGAGTCCACGTTCAGATGAAGGAGGCTTCAGAAAACCGACCATCCCTGAAGTTTTTTTAGTGGCTATGGGCTACATTTCTAACAATCAAAGAGAAAGGGCCCTGGGCAGGGACTGGGTCAATAAGGATGTGGACTGTGGACTCCCGGATCCACAAGATTCTGGCAAGAAAAATGAGCCTGAGAGATTTCTCTATTGGAACATCCAGAGAAAGTTCTAGAGTTGTATTAGAAGTGGGGTGTCTATGTGCATGTGGAACCCTTAGGAAGATACACTTGTGTAAATATAAAAAGAAAAAAACAAAAACCTAGAGAGATAAAAAACAGAGGCAATCACATTGGGGGCAGTTTATAAATAAGAAGATAGCACTAACAGATTATATTGCTGTATTAAAAATAAAACCAGTTTGCAATGTAAAAGCTAAGTGAGAATTAAACTCAAAATACTGATAAACTACACTGAGGGGTTAGGAAAGCACAGTAGAAGCTGGAATTTTAAATTTAGCACATGCTAAGTATGGAGTTAAATCCTATTCTCCCATAGTAAGAAGTCAGTGAGTGTTTTTTTTAAAAAAAAAAAAGTGATCAAGGCCAAGAGAAGGCACCTTGGGTAAAAGCACCAGCATTGAAAGTCTGAAGAGCTAAGTTCCAACACAAAACAGAAA